CACAAATATACTTGCATAAAGTAAAAACCCATGCCGGGCCGGTACACGGTACCAACCGCGCCGGGCCGAGGGTGTATGAAACCCCCGCCCGCCCCCCCCCCCCTAACTCGGCTTCTGGGCCACGTAGCCACACGGGGTAAGCGGCATTCCAAAGAGCGTAAAAATAATGGCGGAAATACTTCAGTCATTTTTTAGGTCAGGTCAAAGGTCAGGTTACCAGAGGTCATTAAAGGCAAATTTTGTCTATTTCAACAGTTTTCGAAACACCCGACGCATAACTTGAGAACCAATAGAACTACAGCGCCGCGGAAAAGCGCATTCGATAGCTCTTTCACAGGTCTTTCTGAGTTTTATTCATAGATTTGATCTCAGGTCAACGGTGTAGCCTCCAGAGGGCAAAAACTCCAAAAATAGGCGTGTTTACGAAAAACGTTTTTTTCGGTAATAACTTTTGACTTAAACGAGCCACGACCTTACTTTTGCCAGCATCGTGTTCCTCTCGTCGAGACGCGTCGAATGAACTATACTCGTAGGTTGACCTTGAAAGGCCATTTTGAAAATTTTACGGCAGGCCAAGGTCATGACCTGACCGGAAAGGGTCATGCTGCATATCAGTCGATCCGTATCGTCGAGCTGAACACATCTGACGTGTTTTCATCGCTCTAGCACGTCTATCAAAAGTTATAGTAAAAGAAACTGCTGTTGATCGTTTTCATGCCATTGTTAACATGTAACCCGATGTTTGAGGGTGTTAAGAATGACCCGCCCAGACCAAATGAGACGCCTTTCAATTTGCTCTTATTGACTTATCATTAGTATTATATATTATTAGCGGCGGGGAGGGTCGTATCGTGAAACAGGGGCCAAGGTCCACCTATAGTCTCGTTAATGGCCAGCTCGTTGAATTTGCTCCGATGTTATCTACTCCAACTGGTAGCCGGTGACCGTCTAGATAGGAACAGGGGATGAACTCGTACTATGGGCAGACGGATGAGGAAAGGTCTTCGTGTACCTGCGGCCAAAAACGACGTTAAAGTTGCGAGGATGTGCTTCTTGCTCATACAACTCAAGCATAACTAGAAACATTTGGATCATTATGCATGCTCCAGCTGATTAGGGAATGAAGTATGTAACATTTCCATGTTATGGTAACATTCCATCTGTAAGAGAGACTCCGTAATTTAATCCATTCTTAACCTTTGTTTGTTTTTGTTTTGTTGGGTTAGGCCCTTTCGGTCCATTGAGACCATTGCAGAGCCGGAAGGATTATAGGAATTGGGGTAAACATTGGTATGGACAGGCACCCTATAGAGTCACCGGGGCTGAGCCCGTCCGAATGGACAGACCGACCAGCCCCCCAAGCACTCTCTGCACCCGGCTACGGGTGTGCTCCTGCATGGGAGCAGTGGTGCGCTTCAAGGGAGCAGCCCGCATGAGATAAAGTTGCCTGTCCAGCCCGGATCAAGAGTTGCTGCGTGGAGGAAAAGGATTTGAACTTGATCTGAACATCCTGAGGATGGAAACGACGGACGGGTGTTGCGTTCACACCCGTTTCCCCGTGCCTTTTAACACTGGTTGCGGCGGGCGGCCGGCTCCCCTCCTTAGTGAAGATATCCGCGCCGCTAGATGGCAGCCCGCTCCGCGGGTACACCGATAACAAAGGGAATCGGGGAGAGTTGCCGATCCGTTAGGTGATCCGTGGTATTGGTATTGGCACTTAAAACCTGTGACGTTTCCGCCTTTTCCGAAGTTTCTGTATCTGTCGACTTGTTTTTTATTGAAACCTTGAAAAATAACAACGCCTCTTGGAACAGCGCCCGGCCCACGAGGTGGAGAATTAAATTGATATGCCGAACTAATTCTAATAGTCTTCTAATTCTAGCAGTATTTTTATTTTTGTATTTAAATATTTAAGAGGCCGTCCTACATGTGACTGAAGAATGCAAGAGCCATGAACTTATCAATGGCAGGTGTCAAGTTCAAGTGTGCAACTCACTGAAATTAATCATAGTATCAAAATCATAAATGATTTGCTCACTGCCGTTTCAACTCCATAATCAAGACATGCTCTGAGGAGTCCACAATCTATTGATGGTGACAAATAAGGAAGAGACAATGAATGTTCACCTTTTTATTTCTGAACATCCAAGACGACTAACCTTGAGCCGTTAAACATTGATAATACCCTGTTTGCTGAAGTGTGGGTGGCCTGAGGTCGACCATGTCTAGTAAAGAACTGTTGTTTGTGTAAACACCATGCAGAGGTATTTTGAAATAAATTTTAGTGATGTAATGCATCATTCTTTGAACTGAGTTGCTGATGGCGGATGAAAGCGGAAGTGCTGCACGTTGAATCAGAAATGCTCTGTTGCGCTTTTAAGCTTATGTTAGATTTTATAGATGGCTTAGTTTTCCTGCAGAGTTCATCTCAAAGCTGTCAATAGTGTTTTACCTTTGTTTCCTGGGAGCAGATCCAGCTACTAACATGAGCATGGGACCAGGACTGGGCCTTTGTACCACAGTCGCTGCGCTGCTTGTCAAAACCTAGGTAATGTGCTTTGTTAGGCCATGCTGTGCATTTTTAAACCTTTAGAGTACTTTGTGATCATTGACACACATATTGAACCTGACAAACAGCAGCAAAATCACACCCCATCCTTACCTCTGTGCAGTGTCACCCAACAGACAACAGGGCTTCAAAACAGGCAGGTTCCGCATTCAAGTCGCTTCTTGCAACTATGTGACTGATGTTAGGACAATAGACGTGCTGCACAGGAAAGGTGTGTTCTTTGTAGCTCTTGAAAAATGAAGTCATGCCTAAAATTCAGTTTAGAATATTACAATTACAAATAACTTGGATAAAAGTTGCAAAACATGAACTCTGACTGGTCAGTTGAAATATCTTGAGTCAGTGAACCACGCCTGGGCTGGAGGTGGTCAGTTCCCTGACTTGCGCAACCTCGGGCACCTCGGGCAGGAGCTGTGGGACTTGTACATGGACAAATTGAATAGACGCTAGCCTAGATTATGTCGTGGCTGCAGTCCAAGACGTGTTCACCAGTTGCCGTTGCTGCCGCTGCCTGCTGCTGCCCTGCGTGCCGGCTGGCAGCTCACTGCTGGACTGTTTGCGCGCCAGGCATCCTACTGGACGAGTGGGGTAGGTCGCAGATCTTTGAGAGTGAAATGTTTGGTCTAAATATGGCTTGAAACTCTTACAAATAATTTAATTAAAAGGCAAAATTTCAGAGGACTCCATTGGTGTCTCAGTGGTGACAATCAGAACTTGATCAGAACTGTTATCATGCTGAATGCTGAAACTGAGGATAGGGCTGAGCTGGTAGGCTAGAATTTAATATGCAGGCTTACAAGGTCCCCAGTTAATCCACAAATTTGTCAGACTTGCCTGTAGATAAATTCATGCAGATGAAATGTTTCTGGCAGATAGCCCTGAGGCAAAATGATATTCAAGCTTGTTCCGCAGCTCGTTGCTTTCCACATGAGCCACTACATCAGAGTCACACAACTCTGCCAAATGTGCTGAAAGGCCACGATTTTTCCAATAAGTAGGTATATTTATTATTTTTCACAGACACAACAAAAATACAAATGCAGGTCACTACAATTCATTCTGCTTCAATTACAATTGCTGGAATGTGTTTTGCAGACTTATTATATTGAATCTTGAACAGACTATATTATATTACTTTGCTCATGGGCCCAGGCCAGTACTGCAGAGTATGGCTCGCAGGTCGCCAAGGAGCACTGGCCTAAGTTCAAAATTTACACAAACCCTGCAAACTGAGCCAGAAAATTCACACCAAAGGGGGCTGAGAGAACACTTCGCACCCCGCTACACTAAAGCTGCACCACACCAAACCAAATCCACACCGCACCATGACCACACTTAAATCCGCACCAGACGAAGGAGTCTGCACTGACAACATCTGGACAAAATTGCCATACTTTGCAGTCTGGCTCATGGCTATATCCATTGTGATTCTTAGGTCTGATTATTGAAGTTGAGCTCACTTCCATCATCCATGTGCCCAAGACATTGTGGGCAGCATCAATAATCAAACATCAATATCTTGCTTTTGCTTATTAGGGAGCATTCTATAATCTTTTAAAAATGATAAATAAGGCCTTGTTGATATTCTTTGCAGTTTGCGACCTTCTTCTTGACAAAGTTCAAGCTTCAATTTTCCAATTTTCATTTCAATCCTTTCCATGAACATTGAACATGTTTGTGTTACTTTGCATGTTACTAAAATACCAATTTCCTGAGTTTTGATTTCATGCGCAATGTTTGTACTATTCGCGGCAGAAGCGTAACAAAACTTTGTGCCACCGATTTGGCAGCTAGGAAAAAAACTTTGCCCGATAAAAAAACAATCATATGACGTAATCGATCCAAAAGCTTTAAATTGGAATTTTTAAACAATTAGCCAACTATGGGCCGAATGTTTGCCAATTTCGTGTACAGGGGCCCCTAATCTATGTCTTGCAACACAAGAACAGTATATCAAAGCAATTTTTTGAAGGTGGGACAGTCCCTTTAACCAGGCAATACAACTCTACATCGAAAGGCCAATAGCCTTCTCGATATAAATGGTGCAGCTGACCTTGGTTATTGATTTGCTAGCTGGATAATACTACACTATGCAGGAGTAACCAAACTTCTGTATGGAAGTATTCTCCTTTTTTTAATCCGGACTTCAATTAAAATCGACCTTTTCTCGCGGCAAATTTTGAATAATATCAAAGTAAACCAAGTAATGGAAGATAACGTGTATATCCAACAGTGCCTACATGCCAGACGGATCACCTACGGCAACATGTAGGACAGTAAAAAAATGTATGTCCTCAGCCGGCGGCCAACAACTCATCACTCATCGGCTATGTACCACGAATGAACAGCATACATGAAACAATAACCTATAACTAGGATTAACTTAGGACTAACTAACCCGATGACTAGGACAGAATATCGTATGACGTACCAAAGTGCAGTCTCCAGACTTCTGAGGTGCTCTGGCCGCGCGACTGGCCTCCGTAGAGCACCATCCAGGCTAGGAGACGACAGGCTACATGGCCGTGCCGCGGCCCGGGGGGCTGACCACGCCACCGCACCGGCGTCCATAGCAGCGAGTCTGGGGACAGGAAGCGCGTCAGTGTGTGAAAGTGATATATTGGGTGGAGACTTCCATTTCGCGTCTAGCTAGACGCGTCTAAGTCGACGCGTCTAGCTGGACGGCGGCTGCGTCTATCTCGCGACAGCTAACTTTAGACGCGTCTAGCTTGAAAGTCTCCGTCCAACAGTTAGACGCCAAGTTAGACGCCAACTTGGACGTCTGCTCAGTTAGACGACAGTTGGACGCCAGTGGAACTCTCCACCCAAATTGTAGACGTAAAGGGAGGAAAGTCATAGCGGACTGTACTTGACAGATAGGTGTACGCTTTTTTGGAGTTTGTTCCGTTTAGAGCTAGCTCACCACACAGTCCTCAACCCGTTACCATACAATTACTTTACTTTATCGCAAATATTACATACCCTGACACATGTTCGCAGTGCACAATGGAACTTTTATGCAAAAAAAAAAAACGAAAAACTAACATAACAAAATCGGGAATAACGTAAGCACACGACAGCTCAGACTCGCTCCATTCCTGTTCCCAGTCGCGCCGCAAAGGCTCCACGTACCCAGATCGAGTCGCCAGAGGTCGGAGCGTTCCGTGAGGTCGGTCATACCGCCGTACACCCACATGGCCGAGTCGTGTACGACAGCAGAGTGGTCGTGGCGGCCCTCGGTGGGCCCCGCGCCCGTCCGCAGCTCCTGCCATGCGCCCGTCTCTGTGAGAGAAGAGAAGGGAGGCGAGGTCAGAGGTGGAGGGAGTTAGCAATGTCTCAGCGAGAGAAGAGAAGGGAGGGAGTGAGAGATGGAGGCACTGTGCTCATACAAGCAGTTCCTACCATTTTTCCTATGCGAGAAAAGAGTGTGAGAGGGGACAGAGTGAAGGCGATGCGACAAAATACGTGCCTAAATAGCTCGCCTCCAAAGAATAAGAGAATACTTCGTTCGTTATCAAATATTCACAGGAGCTCGTGAAAATGCATGACGAAGATGACTACCACCCCATGGACATGACTGATATTTTCTACACTCCCGTTAAGGTTTTTTATAAGCAGCTTAAGGATTTTATCAATCTGGAATTTACAGGCTAAAAGTTTCTAATTTTCTAAAAGCATTAAAAACCAAAAGCTTCGAGTAAAAGCGCATGTTGATAAAACTTCGTATTTCTGCCTATAATTTTCAACAATGCGTACCTTCCTTAGCGTGTTTCTGAGCAAAGGCGTTTTTTGGCAAAAAACAAACTTAGCTTTTAAGAAATGAACAGTCGTGTGAACATAAGTAAAGTTAGTAGCCTGGTCCAACAAGTTCGAATGCCCCAGTGTATTACCGATCCGACCTCCATCGCATCATTAAAACTTTCGCGGGTGCTTTTCCAGAGTTTTAGTAACACTGAATGTAAATTTGTTGGGGGCGTTTCCCACAAAGCGTCCAAAACGCAATGCAATAGTATGTAATTGTATTTTCGAGTTTCGACAAACAAGCACAAGTTTGGCAATAATTCACTTATACTTCCCAGAGAAGTCTCCGGCACTTTCAGAAAACCGTCGCTTTTACAACTTTGAGCAACTTTTATAAATTATGGTGGGAAACTGTCGAAGCGATATAGGGGTGCAAACGGACGAAAAATAGAACCTCATATTTCGATTTACACTTGTGATTAGGCCATTAGGCACTCAACAAAAGAAACGCAACAGGCGTCCAGCCGGCGCCCGACGCTACCCATGACCATTATCATCGTCGCCGGCATCATCTCCATCGGCATCATTCTGTTGGTTGATTGATGACTGCGCTCCGCCCAGTATCGAAACCGTCGGGTGCTGCCGCCAGAGATCGAGTCACGCCTCCGCTCGGATCGGCGCATCGATCCGCGGGCCGGCCGGGCGGGTAGAGCGCCGGGCATGGGGCATCAGTAGTGGGATGGTTTGACATCAAGCAATGTCAATTGAGTGAGTAGCGCCTGTTTTACCGTAAAGCCACTCTGTCGGCATTCTGAGCCGCCATCCGAGGGTAAGCGTACTCAGCGTTCACACACATAGTCTGTGAGAGCTTTGTCATGGTAAAGAACTGAGATACTCTTGGGAACAACCAAGGCTCCAACTACCCTGTAAAACGTCTTGCAAATCTTACACAAGAGGCTATCAAACGCCACAGGTACTGAATAGACCACACAACACCGCCCGTTGTGGCACAATGCGGCCTAACACCA